GAGAATGAGAAGAGGAAAGAGGAGATTGATAATGGATGAATATAATGAGATGGCAATTTTGGTTTGAAAAGAATGTGATTAGCTCCTAATGACCGCCGCCATTCCCTGGTCAATCTACTGTAACTAGCCACTAATGTAAAAATAATGCCCCTCGGCTGCCTCACTTTGAAGATGGAGATGAGTCTCCCTTTCATACTTTTACCCCTTCGTATTTTCTTTTTTCCTTCAAGAGATCATCCCTATTATATTGCAGCTCCCTCAAAAGGGAAATGGCTATGTGATCAAAGTCTGCCAATTGGGGGGTCATTACTGCTCACTCCTAGGTGGCTCTGTTAGGCCTTGCCCCCTCTACCTTGGTCAATAGCATCCCAGACCAGGCTCACACCTCCTCCCCCCAAGCCCCACTCAGGGACACAGAGGCTCCCAGGGCTGCATCAGGGGCCCACGTGGTTTCCCAAAGAAGGGCCACTTATCACAACCGCTTTGTTTAGCTTAAGATTTTTTCAGAGGATATCAGCATGCTGGGTGCCTCCTGAAGGGTATGGTCTGGATGTTGAGACAGCTCCCAAATTGTGCCATTTAAGGACTCGGGGTGGACAGCGATCTTCATCACATCTCTGCAGTGTCGCAGCACAGGGGTGGATGCTAATTCTGTGGGTCGCCCATAGCACAGGGCAAAGGCAAAGTACACAGAGGCAGAGGAAACAAAATCCTGCCCAAACTGTCCGTAAGTGAGACAGGAAGCATTGTGAGGTAGTGAGCTCTCCGTCACTGAGGGTATCCAAGTAGCAGATGCTACGGATCAGCTTGTCCACTGCCCAGAAGGCCACTGTGGAAGGGAACACAACCAGGTAATTTTCAAGGTCACTTATACCTCTGAGATCAAAGAGACTGCACAGAAGCTACCTTACCCACCAATGTTTCCAACCATCTGTCCAATCCATTCATTTATTCTAAAGGGGATTCAGGTACATATGAAGTACAGGCCAGTATTGGGTTCTGGAGAGACAGAAATGAATAAGATGCTGCCCTTTTCCCGGAGTAGCCCATCATCAAGTTGGGAGACAAGACTTTCAAATTATTGGATATAAAGGAGTCCATCTAATAATAGAAGCGACCGACCAGCTGGGGATGAAATGGAGTGGTGGTGGGAGGGTAAGCAGGGAAGTTTTCACAAACCAGAAGATGCTTGAAATGGGTTTTAAAGGGTATGTAGGAGTAGGAGTCTTCCAGGCAGACTCGGGTGAAAGAGAATTTCAGGCAGAGGGAACAGCATATATAAAGTCAGTCTCAGAAGTTTGAAGCACCTGAAACTGTCTGTGGCCTTGTGTTTAGTTCCTTATCTTTGGAATATTAATATAAGGGCAAGAAATGAGGCTGGAGGGGCATGTAGGGTGAACTCATTAGGGACCTTGTATTAAAGACTAGAATTTATACTGAAGATGATGGCAAGGGGAGTAACTGGGTCCTATTCACATTTTAGAAAGATCTCTCTGATTACAGTTGAGAATGGATTGGAGGAGACAAAACCAAAGCAAGAGAAACCAGTGAGGAGACTCGTGAGAGTGTTTCTCCAGGTAAATTCACTATTTGCAAGAACCATGGCTGTGCCTTAGAATCACCCAGGGAGTTTAAACCCTGCCGACGGCCTGCGTCCCATCCCCAGAGAGTCTGACTGTGGCTTTGGAAGTTTTAAAGCCTCCCTCAGATGATTCAAATGTACAGCCATAACAAAACTTTCAGCAAATTATAACTGAAACCCTAGCCCATGGTAGGTTCTCAACAGATTTTTTTCCCCAAAATGATTATGAAAATATTTGGACTGTCCTATTCTTGGCTTCATATCACTTTGGGGTGGATATAATGGAATGAACAGTTGGCTTTTATCACAGAAGGTTTCAGGTAGAACATCCACCCCCAGAATATCCGCTTAAACCTTGAGAAGTCCAGTGTTACTGCTGAGACAGTCACAGCCCACCATGGCGGAGAGCCAGGACTCTGTGGGCCTGGCAATTGTCTGCAACAGCTGGTGCCACTGGGCTGGCCAGGAGGATGAGGCCCTAGGGCTGGAATCTGAGCTCTAAGAGTTCCATGCAAAAAGCAAGAACCGTTTGCAATCAAGAGCTGTCCTACACCAGTGGCAAGGGCGGTGCAGGGTGATGGTCATTTGTAATGAGGAAGGAGGGGGAAGACGACAAAGAGAAAAAGGAGAGACAGGCCCTCCGTTTGTAAAGTTAAGCACTTTCCTCTCTCCGTGGCATTTTTGTCACACTCAGATTTAGGGCAGAGATTGGGAAGACAATCTAGTACCCCGCTTCTGAAACCCTGGGGAAAGTGAGATTGGAGAACACAGCTTAGCCAGACCACCCAGACAAGGGCCTCCCACCCCATCTCCATTCCATCTAGAATGGCGAGGTAGCAGAATGAGCACTAGTTCTACCTACCCAACCACTGTAGAGTTGAGGATCATGGTCACGCTTCTAGAAAAAAGGTCGGCAGAGTGCAGCCACAGGCTAAATCCACCCCAGCACCTGTTTTCGTAAATGAAGTTTCATCAGAACATAGCCACGCCCATTTGTTAGCGTTTTGTCTGTCACTGCGTTCACTCCGCAACCAGAGTATGAGTGGCGGCGTGGCACGGAGTACTTGGCCTACAAAGCCCATGCTGCCCATTCTCTGACCCATTACAGAAAGTTTGCCTACCTCTTCTCTAGAAGACCCACCCAGGTTGGCTTAACACATGGGAGACTGGAAGCAAGAAAGGGGGTACTGTGCATGATTTGGGCTTTTCACAGGCACTGGTCCTGCCTGCCTATGAAACACAGCCCACTGATGGAATTTCTGACCGTTCGGCTTACAGACTGCTTATTGGGGCTGAACCTCGTAAGGGATGGATGGAAAAAGGCAAGGCCAGTGTAACAAGATGAGTGGATGCTCCTTTCCCCTGAGCTGCAGACAGGGAGCTGTGTAGACTAAAGGTATTGCAGGTCCAGCCCCAGAAGCAGTGCAGGGCCCACGAGCGGGGCATTTGGCCCACGCCACAGGGTGCGGGGTGGAAACAGTAATCAAAATGTGGCCAGGTCTTCATGCTTCTGGAGCTTTCCTACAGCTGTTCCTGCTCCCCTGAATGCCCATCTTCATTCTCTGTGAGAGAAGCAACTTCACCCTCCCCTGTGTTTCCATAACTCTTGGCTAATAACTCTGTTAATCGTTCCACATGGTTGTGGACTTGTCTGTCTCCTCTTGGGTTGTTGACTCCCAATTCCTCCCCCAGCTCTGACTGTGAGCTTCTATGTCCAACTTCCTACTCAGCATTATCAGCTTGGATGTCGACTAGTCATCTCAAACGTGGCCCCTGCTACACTGTTCTCACTGTGTGGGACGTGGCAAGAAGCACACAGCACTCAGCAAGGGCCAGGCACTGTTCTAAGCACTCGATGTGCCCAGAGCACAACACGTAATTCCTGCCTCCCCGGTCTCTTTCTCCCCTTGTATTTCTTCTCCATCTCTGCAAATGCCACGGCTCTCCACTCACTTCTTCAAGCCAACAGTCTAGGAGCCAGCCTTCATCCCTCTCTCCTTCAGAGTCCACACCGACAGCAGATGTGTTGGCCTGCCTCTGCCCCCTCTACACTCATGTTCCCATGCACGCTCACCCACTGCCCGCTGCCTAGAAGAACCTGTGGCTTGTTGCCCAAGGACTTTCTTAGAGAATATGCACAGCTTACCTGCAGAGCATGGCAGAAGTGCCAAGGGATTTCCTAAGCATTGTCCTCAACCAATGGTCGATGGGAATTGGTGGGTAAATACCCCAACATGGGGTGGGCCTGTGAGATTAAACCCCAGGTGTACACGGTGCTGACGTGTTCACTGAGATCCTTGGACTGACTTCCTTCCCATGTTTCTATCATTTCCCTCGCTCTCCCACCCATGCTCCTTAGGATTGCCTCCGAAGAAGATCTCGTATTCAAATCCTTGTTTCCAAGTCTGCTTCTGAGGCAACCAAAATCTACCGTATTCAACTGAACATCCTGAAAATAATCACTTCTAGCTACATCTACTGACACCGTCCTGGTAAAGGGGCCAAGGTGCCCTCATCTCTTACCTGGACCATTGCAACAGCTTCCTAACTGATCTCCCTCCTTCCTCCCCAGGCCTCCTAAGAGCCTGCATCCCGTACATGAGCCAGAATGTAAAACCTAAATCAGATCAGCTAACTGCACTGCTCAAAACCCTCCAAAGGCTTTCCATCTCACTTAGAATGATACCCAACTCGTTACCAGTGACCACAATACCTTCTAGAGCCTGAACTGTCCCAGCCCATCCAGTTGCTCCCACCACTGCTCCCCCTGCCTCACCCTTGAATACGGTCATTTGGTTACCTCTTTTGCACCTGCTCTTCCCTCTGCCTGGAAAGCACGTCCTGCTTTTGGCACAACTGGCTTTTTCACATGATTAAGGAGTTAGGTTAAGTGTTCCCTTCTCAAAGAAGCCCTCCCAGACTGTATAATCTGAAGAAATTCTCATCCTCCATCACTGTCCCTTCCCCCTGATTAATCTTCTTCATAGCACTTTCCACGATCTGAAATTATATATGTTTGCTCTTTTACTTGCGGTGTTGCCCAGTTGACTGGAAGCTCAAAGGGGACTTTGCCTATTTCTCTGTATCCTGAGTACCTATAACAGTGCCAAATACATATTAGGGACTCAATAAATACCTGTCGAATGAATGAATGAGTTAATGAGCAAATGACTCCTGTACTGGGCCAGATTTGGACTCTTGACACACAGAAGGCATCCATGACATTTGAGTCAATGAACGAGTGGGTAAGTCCATAAAGGGGCCAAGTCTACATTCTCCCCAGGCCACATCCAAGAACATGGAGACCTTTATACCGAGTGACCCATCCCAGTGGATCTGATCCCCCCCACCCCCCGACTCATCTACACATGGAGAAAGCCCCTATCTCAGGCCATTCTAACCATTCTTCCTCTTTTAGGCCTTACCAGAGGGGCAGACAGCTTCGTGGGACACAGCCAAAGAGGATGAAAACCGCAATAAGAATCGATACGGAAACATCATATCCTGTAAGAGCCTTGAGGGTTTGGGGAGCAGCCAGCTCAGGGCCCAGAGGAGCCCAAGGCTACTCTGGTCACACAAGGGGCAGGGTTTAAGGCATCATGACTTCTGCTGGCCCCCACTGCTAGGGGGGCAGGTGTTGTAAGGTGAGTGTCTGCCACACAGGCCCTGCGTTGGCCAAGACACTTGGTGGCCCTGAGCCTGCAGGAGGAAAACGTGTTTTGTGCAGAGACTGGGGAGGCATGCAAGGTCATTGCCTTTTGCTCGACGAGCTTTAACATTCCTGTAATCACCCCTGATACGTGGTTTGATGAAGGCAGTGATGCGGAGCGGTTAGAGCCCTGTGGAGTCAGACTGCCTGGGCTTCTATCCCGGCTATGGGGCCCTGGGCAAGTTACCTGACCTCTCTAAGCTTCAGTTTTTTTCCCTTGGAAATGATACAAACAACAAAGACAGGGTCATTTTAAAAAGGTACATGAACCTTTGCCCGGTGCTTGGCACCATTACTCTAGCCTTAGAGTTAGTTTCTCGTGGTCACTGAAGATCAGTACAGACAAATAATTCCACATTTATTTATTTTTTTAAGGATTTTATTTATTTATTTGCTAGACAAGCGAGAGAGGGAACACAAGCAGGGGGAGTGGGAGAGGGAGAAGCAGGCTTCCCGCCGAGCAGGGAGCCCGATGCAGGGCTCGATCCCAGGACCCTGGGATCACGACCCGAGCCGAAGGCAGACGCTTAATGAATGAGCCACTCAGGCACCCCAATTCCACCTTCTTTTAACCAGAAATCACTGAATACCCATCTGGGGACATGGGATAAACTGGGTTGGTGGGGGGCTGGGCATGATCAGATGTCCAGTTTTGAAAGATCACTAGGGTCACTGATTGGAAGGGTGGATTAGAGTGGGAGAGACTGGAGGCAGAGGGACTGGTCAGGAGGCTACTGCAGTGGTCCCAGCGAGGGACAATGAGGCCTGAACAAGGACAGTGCCAACATTTGTGTGTGACTGTGCATAATATTCAGTGCTAGACGGTGAGGCAGGGAGAGAGGCGTAGGTCACACGGTATCATCACTGCCAAATATTGGTATGTACAACCTTCAAAGCAGCATAAATACAGAGAGGACAAAGTTACCCCATACAAAATGTTGAGCGCATGGTCTGATTAGAACAGAGTTGACAACAGCTTTTGTCTGCCGTGGTGTACTCAGCCTGGACCTTTTGACATCTCACCAATTGTGTGCATTGCATTTCTCATCTTAGCTCTCAGGATTACTCCGTCTAGCCAAAAACAGAGGGAAAAAAAGACCTTGAATAACAAATTTTTTCTAGCACAGTTCAGTGTTTTGTTTTGTTTAACTGTCTAGACATTGCCTAAGAAAAAAACTTGGAGGAAGAAAACATAAGATACAGGCAGCTTGCAAAGGAAGAAAGAGGCAGAAGTTTTAGCTTAGCTGTTTCCTGTGCTGATTTAGGAATGGGCTATGAATGGTAGAACTAATCAGAAAACATTTATAATTTGTCTCTTGGAAGATAGTAATGCAGGCAGCAAGATTTCTTGCAAGTGAAGTGTTGGAAAGAGATGCCCGAACCATCAGGAAGTGTGTTATTAAGACCCATAACTCGTGGGCTTCCGTTGAGCCAGGCCCTGTGCTGGACCCTCAGTCTCTGCTCCCACGGAGCTGCTGTGCTGGGCACAGGTAGCTGCTCACTCTGACCGTCCTCTGCTCGAGCACTGTGCATACCATTCCCTAAGATATCTGGCCACTTGTTCGTTCCCCCTTTCAGATTGTGAGTTTAGAGAGGGGCCACTAAATTATAGGCTGTGAGACCTTAGGCGATCACACCAAACCTTAATCGTCTCTCTGTAAATTGGGTACAATGATGTCTTCCTCCCGGGGCGTTGCGCAGATAAGAAAAGATAAATGACTAGAGCACACTGAAGAGCCTTTGCCTCCCTGAGAGACAAGGATATCCAGCCTGGGCCAGGTATCCACGCAAAAGCCTATGGGGGCTAAGGATGAAAAGCCACACCAAGCTGTCTGTCTTCCAGACTTCCCTGCTCATCCTTGGCACCCAGCACCTTTGCCCGAACCATTGTTAGCTCTCACCTGGACTCCGCCCAGCCTTCTTCCTACTGCTGCACATCTAATCTGACCCCCAACTTCCACCTATCTGATCTGACAGAAGCCAGAGGGACATCCTCAAAATGGGAATTGGATCATGTCATTTTCCTATTGAAAGCCCTTCAAATGACTTTTCTGCATTTCTAAGCACTCCTTATCCAAAAGCCCTCAGCCACCTCTCCACTGCCATTTCATATCATGTTCTCTCCGTCCCAGTTTCCTCAATTAAGCCACACTGATCTTCATTCAGTCCCTTGAGCTTTCTGTGCTCACTCATGCCACGGGGCCTTTGCACACACTGTGTACTCTATCAAAGTGCCCTTCCCGCCTCACTTTGCTCTACTAAGTTCTACTTATTCTTCAGATCCTTCTCGGTCATCACTTCTTCAGGGAATTCCTCTGGCCCTTCGAATTTGATCAAAACCCCATTATTCACTCCTTGGGCACAATGCCTGTCTTCTCCTTAACCCTCGTCATCGTTGTGATTTGAGAGGCATTTGGATGACTATCTGTTGACTGCCTGTTTTCCTCACTGGAATAGACACTCTGTGACAGCAGGAAGATGACTGTACTTCTGTGTCCCCAAACCTGGCATATGGTTGGGGCTCAGTAAATAGGAACTTAATGTTGGAAAGCAGACTCTCTGCAAGACCCCAAAGGGCTTCAGCCATGGACCTCTCCCTTCTGGCTTCTCAAATAAAGGAGAGAATACTCAGGAAGCATGGAGGGAGGTAAGCTGGAGCAGGATGACAGGGGGAACAATTATTTGCCAGTAGGAAGAAGCTACTGAGCCTGAGTGGGGGCAGAGAGACAGGACACAGGAAAGGGCTGGAAGAGAACCATCCTGTCCCGTGTGAGAGCTGCGTCCTGGAAGGCAGGATTCCAAGTAGCAAGGAAAACAATGAAGAGGATTGAACTCCATCACTGGGGGTGCAGAAGATGCTGTCAGCATGCATCCCACCCACACCCCACAGCCTCACCACCTGGTGTTTGGAACCAGCAGGCAGTCTGGCATCCTGGGCCAGGACTATGGTGAGCGAGCGAGGCACCCAGTGTGCAACATTCAAGGAGATGCCATGCTCGGCTGCATGACCCTGAGAGCAAGCGCCTCACTGAGGTGTGTGCCCTGGACACCTCACTTGCTTCCCCCTCATGGTGCCCTGTCTGCATCTCTTCACCTGAGAACCTGCTTCCAAGCTGGGGCAAGATAATCTGTGCAAAAGGCAGTCTTTCCCTAGCCGATGAAATAGCCCAGCTCCTTCCCATCCCACTGAGGGTGTGTTCTTCACCTTTTCCAGAGTTCCCTCAGGGCCTGGGCTGCCGTTTCCCACCGCAGGACCGGGCTGGAAAACTCCCCCTTGGGGCCTACCTTCTTTCGGCCGCTTCCCTGCCCCCCTTCCTGCTGGTGCCCCTGTTCCTGCATAAACTACGTGCACCAGGATCCTCCTCTCGCATCTCCTTCTTGGGAAACCCAAAGGAGGCAGAGGGAATTCAAACACCTAATGTTACCACCTTGACGGGCTCGAACAAACCTGAATCTCCTTTCTCACAGAAGGGTCAGTAATTCTACGGGACACTGCGGCCCGAGTGGGTCTGCACTCCCTAAAAAGGAGACAGGATCAGGCAACCCGTGCATTCAAAAACCCTGGAAGACATACCAAGGAGCCGAGCAAAGAAAGACTCCTAGAACTGGAACGAGAAAGGGAAAAGAGAGACGGCCCCGAGGAATGGAAAGCATTCCTGTCCTTGTATGTGTCCCTCCCAAAGGCAAAGTCTGTCGAGGCTTGATAAATAGAAATATTCTTGGCACAAGAAGAAAACGGGGTGTGATTAGCATCTTAAGGAACCCAGAGCTCTGGGAGGCTGGAGTGGAGGACAAAGGCCCAGGCCAGGAGGACAAAGAAGATAAAAGGGGAAGAGGGGGAGGGGAAGGCACTGCTTGCAAATGAAACAATGAAAGAGAAACCTTGGTTAAATTAGCCCTTTCTTCCAAATGAGGCTGTTTAGAATTTGGCAGCAGAGACAGTGGGGTTTCCAGGGGTGGGATGACCAGGAAATGAAAGGGAAGGAAGTGAGTGGAGATCCAGAACAAAGAGTTCTTTGCATTCAAGCAGCTCTGGGGCAGAGACTGTGGACAAGGGGAAATGTCAAGAATACCCCAGCGTTCCCATGTGGATGTTCTTTTGGAGGGGGCTTCCTGGGCTGGTGGGAAGAAGTTACAGCAAGGAGAGGAAGCGATCGCAGAGGTTGCAGATTTCATCAACTCTGTCAGGGTCCCAGCAGGAAACAGATGAGATGCTCAAGGAGGGGGATGTGAAGAGCTGAGGAAGTAAGCACACGTTGGTCACATTCTCTTTTGGTCCAGTTCCTACAGGGGCTTTCCATTGGCCAAATCCAACCCAAAACCAGAGGACAAGGGAATCTGCAGACTCAGTCCACTGGGCCCAGGTGTACCAGAATACTGGACATGGGCTCAGGCAGAGCCGGGTTCTAGTCTCGGTTCTGCCCTTGACTGGGTGCATGACCTTCGGTAAGGTCACTTCATCTCTCTGACCCTCAGTTTCTCCTCTCTCAGTGTACAGAGGGCAAATTAAGATGAATAACTACTGAATCCAAATCCGGTGTAGAGACTTTTAAACCCAGCTGAGACTTAGTCCAGCCTCTCTGAGTTCACTGGTGAGGAGTGATGGTCCAGAGATGTAGAGTCCCCGGCCCAGGTCACACAGCAAGTCTGTAGGACGGCCACACCCAGCCCTCCTGGCTTTTAGCTGCTGGGGTACCACGTGACCCTGGCAAGGAATCCTTCTGCATCAAGACACATCATGCTAAGGGCTCCAACCTCAGAACAAATGGCCGACTGGGATGAGCTCTTCAGACTCAC